AACTTTAGCTTCCATTAGATTTTGTGACGCCTCCCTCAGTTCCTCTCACAGCAGCAGCACCCCAGGCCCTGCTGTTCCAGGCCTGGGCTCCCTGCACCCAGCTCTCCTGGTATCCCCCAATCCCAACCCACAGCCCCCCACAGCTATTCCAGGCCTGGACACTGCCTGCCCCCCCCTCCTGATTTCCAGCCCCCAGCATTTCCATCCAGACCGTGCTGCAACCTGCTGCTCATGTGGTTCAGCCCAATGCCCACTGGGGAGTCAGCGGAGAACAGCAGACTTGGCTCAATGCGCCCGGGCAGCATCGGCGAGTGCCAACCGGAGACCCCCCTCCAAGCCCCGGAGGCACAGGCCCCTAGGCCAGGCGGAAGCGAGGTCGCAGCCTCCTACCTTGCGCTTGCGCTGGGCGGGGTCGGATTTGCAGTCTCGGTCGATGTGCTGCCCCACCACCACATCAGGCATCTCCCCCTTTCGGACAGGGATGGGGATGTTGCAGAGGGGGCACACGGGGACCTGCACGTCCTGTAACACAGCAGAGGCCAGGCTGAACACGCTCCCCAGGCCTGTCTGGGCCGTGCCGTTCGCCCCAGGGGCAGGAGCTGCCTTGCAGATGATGGTTCTCTCGTGATATTTTCTAACCCTTCGGATTATTTCTGCCTTTGCTAAGCAAGCAGTCTGGGGGCCCAGGCACACCCTGGGAACGCTGGCAGCTTGTGCTCGGGGCCAGGGAAAGAACAGGTGTTAAAGTGCAAAGGACGGTTCTGACCATCCTGAGCCCCTGCACACCACAGGCCACAGAACCGCACCCAGCCACGTGAGCGGAGCTAGGACGGAGCCTGCAGAGCAGCTGCCAGGCTTGGGTTAAAGCCGCTACCCCGTCCCTTGTGAACCGCAGCTCAGGCCTGGGCTGCATGGAGGAGTGACACTAAACGCCCAGGGTGTACAAACCCAGAGCCAAACACCGCAGCCACATCGCCCGAGGGAGCTCCAGCGAGGTCAAGGAAAGAATGCTGTGGGGGGGGGAATGGAAAACCCCTTCCGCTGCTGGATGCTGCCTCTACTCTCTAGGGTCACAGCTACAACGCCACAGCTTTATGGGTCACGACCCCGACCTGACACCAGGCCCCCCCCGGAGCCCCTCTGCTGAGTGTGGCCTCGCGGGCAGCGCTCTGAACCAAGCCCGTGCGAATTAGTTCGGCTGAGATGACGTGGCCACGTGCACTAGCCCTGCTGTGATCCCTCTGTCCCCGAGCGTTGGGGTTCTAGAAACCGTTCAGCTGGCCTGGCAGACGTCGCCACCTCGTGTTCTCCACCCCACCGCTGGGCTTGGCTGCTGGAGGATCGCCACAAGGATTCCAGGGCCGCCCAGTGCCCTTCTGTCACTGGCCATGCTCGCCTCGCTCTCGGGCTAGCCAGACAGAGCTACACCTCAGGCAGCCCCCTGGCTCCACCTGCCCCTCTCGTCCCAGGCTTAACTTGCACATGTGGGGTCTGATCCTGAGGTTTCGCCGGGAGCTGCCAGGTAGTCCCAACTCCGCTGGGAGCGCAGTGCTCAGGAGCCACCCCCAGCCACCGCTCCCCACTTACCTTCTTGTAGGCAGAGGTGCACTGGTGCTGGGTGTAGGTGATGTGGTCGGTGCAGAATATCTGCTCGCACGCGTCGCACTTCAGAGGGAGAAAGTCTGGCAAGACAGGAGAGACAGCAGGCAGGTGAGGGGCCAAGGAGTCGGCGCTTCCCACTGCACAGCCCAGGGGCCAGCCCAGCCACGCACTGCCTGGGACAGCCAGCCTGCAGGGGCACAGGGCTGCAGCAACTGACAGACTGAGCCATTCCAGACTACCGCTCCCAGCATGCACCGCTGCAGCTTAAAAACAAACCCCACCTTTATGGCCTACGCAAAACGTTTGTAGCTTTTCAAATTTGTTTAATTGATCCGGAGTATTTCCTAGCAAGCCAAAGGCACCGCTTCTTCAGGGATGCCAAGGACTCGACCCCGAAACAGTCACCGCGGTAGGAGAGACAGCAAGAGACAGTTTTCACGTCAAAGCTACACGCTCTTGACAATGAGGGTTTGTAACCTCAGTGCCCGCCCTTCCCCCTCCCCATGAGGAGACTAATGACGCCAGTCACAGAAATCAGAAGGGGGCACTGACCGAAGAGAAGCAGCAACGGGATCTGCAGATCTCTGTGGCAGGAGGCAAGCCATTGAGAAATCAGTACACAGCACCCGTGAGCAGTACGAGCGAGAGGAGAGAGCAAAACCGAGCCAGCTCCCGCAGCACAAGCGATCCCACCCCACAGCGAGCTCTGGGACACAGCCAGGTGCCATGGGAGCAAGCCCTGGACTGGCCAGTTAGCACCCGTGGACAGCCATTGCACGTTCTCTTTGGCAGGGAGACCCCAGACACTACGGTGGAACTTCTGCTCCTCACACGCACTTGACAAGCTGTGCGGCTGAAGCGCTCTGGCACGTGACGATGCTCAGCACTTGCTTGCCGACCATCACCTAACAAGCCCTAGAGGGACCGGGACACCGTGCGCAGGAATCAGACTGATCATTTGTCTGGTCCCCACCATCCTCCAACGGTCTGAACACTTGGGACACAGCCCACAAGAGAGACACGTGGGTAACACACAAGGGCTGTGGCTGGTTCGTCAGCATCAGACCACTCCTGAGAAAGACGCTTGTTTACCGGCTTTGAGGTGGGCATGCCAACATCTCCAGCTCCCCAGGCACGAAGGGCTCCAATCACCCCCTGCTCCCCTAGGGGGTTGCAGTCAGACTGGACTGCATGGGTCGCTGCCCCTCGCTCCCACCCCAGAACGCACTGCGCCCCTCACTGTAACAAAGCACGGGGCCCACAGTCTGTCAGGAGGATTTAAGCACTAAGGCACCAAGTAAGCAAAGGAACGTGATTTAGAAAGTCACGGCTACTGCACCACAAATCATACACATGATCCCAACACCACTGCAGAGAGTGCACCCCCGCTGCAGGTCCCCGAGCCGCCAGCTACAACGGCAAACTCCTTGGGGAGTTCAGTGAGCTGCAAAACCTGCACAAGCACAACGCGCCGTAAACAACGGCAGCATATTTCACAGTCACACCAAGACAGGGCGGTCCTGCAACTGGCACAAGGCCCCAGGGCAAGTCAGTGGCAGGGCTAAGGAGAGAACCCAGGAGTCCTGGCTCCCAACCCCCCTGCTCTAATCACTAGACTCCCCTCCCAGGGTGGGGGAGAGAACCCAGGAGTCCTGGCTCCCAGCCCGCCCTGCTCTAACCCACCAGCCCCCCACTCCCCTCCCAGAGCCGGGGAGAGAACCAGGCATCCTGGTTCCCAGCCCCTCCCACTCCTCTCTCAGAGCTGGGAGAGAACCCAGGCGTTCGGGGGGCAGAGATGTCCAAGGGGAGGCAGGTGGTTCCAGGCTCTGCCCCACCAGCAGGCTCAGGGCCTCACCCAGGCGCTTGCAGGTCGGCTCGGAGCAGTGCGCGCCCAGGTCCGGCACCGCCACGGCGGCGGTCAGGCCGCCGGGTCACCTGCAGCAGCGAGAGGGAGAGAGTGAGTG